AGTCTATGGGAATTTATTTGTAGTGGTGCACCCTTATGGAGCTCGTTCTTGTGGCCGTATAAAACAGCGCCCTCTCTCAATGCATAGCGCTGCACACCCGGCCCGTACACAGAGTACGTACAGTATAAGTACGTGCATGCACATGTACATGTACATGTACATACATATCCATGTACTGTACGTTGTACATGTACATATACTGCCGTGCTGTTTTGAAGCGGCCCATTGCGCCTGCGCTCGCGTACCCGGTATATATAGCGTACCGGGGGTACCCGTTCACACCGTGCCATTTAACAACACGTCGTCAAAGCGTAAATATGGCAGCAACAGCTACATGTACGGAAGAAGAAATTGACCCCAGAATCAAGGTACGATTTTAACTCATACTCAGCAACACTTTTCAGGATTTTCACCCAGGAAAATTAATTTACTTGTCCCTAATCTGCCATGTATTCGAGTGCTAGGAGCTGACAAGCCTAAATTCGTTTGAAATCTGTTTGAAAAAATAAAATCGTTCCCATTTAAAATTCCAGCGAGAATTATTTATGCCAAGGAGTGAGGTTTCCATGCGCATGCCGTTAGTGGATCGATATAAGGGGTCGATACAACTACGCAATGTGCATTGTTGTCATGTTTGCGGCATGATGCGGCATTTGAATTTCGCCAAATGTAGAACCCGCCTATTAAATGCATTATGTGCCTGTTCAGAAAAATGGAAAAGTGAAAAGGGTTTATTTTTAGCTAACCTAATGATTTTTGCAAAAATGTTCGTCATGATCGTGATTGTAAAATAAAGATCAGCCGTCGTTCATGTCATTTATTTAATCATGTTTAAAATCACAGATTTTCTTTTGACGGTTTGATATAAGCAAAGAATTTCAAAAATAGAAGTGTTGAATTGTTTATCTGTCAAGTCTGCGCTGAACCTTTTGTTTGTAAAAGGAAGGATTGTTGTATTCTTTCTCTTCTGCCAGAACTGTGGGGTTCAACGTCCGCCCTGCTTACCCCTATTCCAAGTACTGGTAACTTGGTCTGTACAAATTGCCTTTTTTAACATTTGGATATGGTCAGATATGGGAAGTTATTCTGACTAGCTTACCCCAGAACTGTTGGGTATGTCCTTCCGCCCCGCACCCATGAATGGAGTAGTGGATGATTGGACCCCACCGTTCTGGGGGTATTCTTTCTCCACTTAGGCCTACGTGGTTGTACCTTACGACAAGATTAGAGACGGTTGATATTTAAATGACCTGTCATTGAAATACATGCATGACGTGTAACTTACAACGTCAGAAAAAAGGAACGTCTTGATGCAACATTATCCAAGTTTGTCCTTGGTTTGGGGTTGAGGGAAAAGTTTTGTATCTCGCCACCCACGTTAGTGTTACCACATGTATGTACATGTACCATTATCAGCACTTTCCTCCAACCATAACAAATTCCACTTAAATCTACATGTACTGTAAATGTCTACATGGCAAAAACTGACATGGTCCCAGGAAAGGTACCTTAGGATACAGCTTGAGATCAGTGATGGCAAGATATATGAACATTTATATTTATGGGGCTCTTTGGGGTTGATTTGGCATGGTATGAGGTGGTTTAGCCAAGGCATGGAGCAAATTAAGGGCAAATTAACCAGGGAGAGATAGTGATAATTATGGAGTATGATGACGCACATAATAACATTAACAGTGACACATGATTTGTTACATATTTTGTACATGTATATGCATGCACTGTGTATCTCTTCCACAGTGTTCAAGCAAATGTGTACTGTAGCCTAGTAGGCCTGCACCATGTACATGTACATGTATATTGGGCTCCCAGACATGCCAGACTAGGTCTCTTAATGCATGGTTATCATTGATGATAGCAGATTTACATGTTGTACATGTACATATACACATACATGTACATGCATGCATGTACATGTACAGTGACATTACTGGTAGTTTCCATGGCTACAAAGTGAAAATGATACCGAAATTTTTGTTAAGTGTGAAACAAAGGCCAAGGCATCCATACACCAGTCTCATTGACCATTCACCCAGATCTTTATGCCATGGGAACAAACCTTCAAAATGCAGAAGATACACTCTACCGTTAGTTTACAATTCCAACACAGACTTTTGAAATCAGGTTCATTAGGTACAAATTTGTGCAAACATCAGATAAAAGTCACATGTGTCACTTCACAGTTGAAGAAGCAGGATTCTCAAGTGGATCTTAGCAAACTCTTGTAGTCGCAGTCTGACAACGTGTACTGGTAGATCTATGGAAGTGAATTAACAACGTGTACCAGTACTTCATTTAAAATTTCTTTTACTTAGCAGTACATGTACATGTGTGTACATGTACAGTATGTACAGACCCTAAAGCTACTGGTAGACAGCTTTCTTGTGGCTTACATGTACATCGGTGCATGATATAGGCATGAGAGTGTTGGACAAAATGTAAGTGTGCTAGCACAACAGATTTCATTCTACCATAAATCTGAAAGTCAGCTTTTGACCAGTCATGTACCCGAGTTGTAAAAACTTCAAGGGGATTTTTTGGGGGAATTTTACCTTCACATTTCCGTCAGACACTTTGCCTGACCATATGTGCTATTTGTCTGACAATTACCAAAAAAGGTTGTGAAATGGCCACTGCCCATCCGTAGTTTCACATTCTGTTTATTATGTGCCGGTATGTGAAAGTCCTTCATTTTAGTCATGTTGTAAGCATCTGTGCACTTCAACTCCCAAACATTTCATCAGTGACTGACATTTTCACAGCTGCTCTGTCAAACAAATTCCCAAGCAGTTCAAGTACAGTACAAGACTAAATTTAGATAAGAAAATGCCCGTTTCCTGTGTGACATAAGTCACCTGGCACTGTTTGGCATCGTACGATTTTCCAGGACTAGTGCCCTGACAAAGGGCTTACAGGTTTGTCCCATTGTTCAGCGATACCGAAAGCCCAGGAAAAAAATGGTAGCGTGACCGTGCAACTAGCAGTGTTGACAGTGAAATCAGTGAACCTTGAAAAAATCCCCAACCCCCCCCTCCTCCTCCTCTTCACACAAAGGAACCCTTCTAGAATGTGTGTTGCTGTGCTGGAACAGGTAAATACAAAATATGTACTGTACTGGATTGTCAGCTATGTGGAATAAGCTAGTCACAGTCAACAAACTTGAATCCATGTATACTGTATACATGTGTATGTACGTTCCCACATCCCTGATGCTTAGCAGTTAACTGTATTGAAATCACATCTCTGCACTGCAACAAAAAGAAAGATTGGCAGGCAAATTAGTAAACTTTAAAGGGTTAGAGTAAAGGATGAGATCTTTAAGTGTCTGTGGAAATACTCAACTAGAAACCTTCACGTTGTTGTGTAGTAACATACAACGGTATGTACCTGTAGAGGAAACGGTATAAGATACGTGTATTAATTTATGTCCATGTTACAAATAAGCTACTGGTGGAAGGTCACAGTATTCCTCATTTACATCAGAACTACACTCAGGGATGCCCATGCCATGGAAGATTTTCATTTGAAATTCTGATATGAGAGGATACTGCAAGAATGGCTTACAGGTGTTAATCATGTCTGAAATGTTGATCCTAGCCGTGACTTGAAAAATTTCCTCGCCTGGGAGTAAGGGAAACTTTGAACCAGGTTGGATCAAAACTCTTGATCCAACTTGGCTCTTGAAGCATTTTAAAACTTTTCTTCTGGGAATGGGTATCCCATGGTGTCCTTTTTTTAAAGGAAAGTTGAACTGAAAAAAATTCCAGGTACTGATATGTTCTGTCCAAGTTACAGTCGTAGTAGCCACTGTTAGTTTATGAGTCATGCCTTGGACAATGCTTGACAGCCCCAGGGAGTTTCATTTTTGTGAATGGAAGACCCCCACAGCTTCTTATGGCCCACTTTGCTACAAAGGATGACCTTCCATTGTTGAATTGAGGATGCAGCATGTGCAAGGGGGTTGGGGGAATTCCTCTGTGGAGTGGAAACTCTCTTGTAAGAAATGAACTAAATAATGAGGAACTTCATGGGAAGCTTCAATCATTTAGCGTAGCCTCAATGGGACAGTTTATGCCCATAGGGTGAAATATGACAGGTTAGGACATTTTGTATGGTAGAATTGACCTATCAATTTTGGTATGATCGCATCAACATGGCTAGTGAAATGTCCAATTACAGCACTGAATGAATACGGGCTCATGCAAATCACACGCAAAATCTAAGATGAACAATACTCAACATACCGGTAGAGAATTTCATGCATGTAGGTTGTCTAAAAGGCATGGCTAACTTGCAAATGACGATAGGTTAATTAACCTGAGTTAGTTTCAGTTAAAGAATACTCAACATTTGTGAATTTGCTAGGGTGGCATCCAATGCGTTAATGTTACCAATGTCAGTGACCATCACATCGTGGAAGGACCAGGTTTATGTATAGACCACGCAGAATGTTTGATCTTTTGTGTTGAGCCTAACCCTCTCAATCTCAGGAAATATCCTCTTAACGGTAAATCTAGCAGGGGGCCATGAAAGATTTTGTACTAGTAGGATTCGAGCAAGCAGAGCCTAGTCATTGTTACAGAACATGACACAAACGGCTTTGGATGCAATTTCAAGAAGTTTTCAAAGAATTGCTCCTGGGGTGTAGTGAAATCAAATTGCAGTACATGTATGTACTTTTTAGTTCCCCCTTAATGTTCTTGCTTTCTTTACTGTATGTCATGTTTATCCCAGACCTGCAGTCTTTTGTATGGTTAGGGTTCAATAGCTTTTAGAGGCCAATCGTGAATACCCATACCAAGTACATGTACATTTGTGGCCTTGACCTACAGCAGTAAGAAGTCTGAAAAGGCTTTAACTGAAAAGCCCATGGGATCAGCTGCTCTTGCCTTAATCTCTAGCCATGGTCATTCAAGGTCTAAAAATACCCAAAGGGATATTTTGGGAAGACACAGTGAAAGTTAGGAGCACTGGAAAAAGATTGCAGTGTTTTATTGCCATTAAATTCTCATGGTCACCCAGTGTCTCGATCTATAGTAATTTCAAGATTTTGAAGTCCATTGCACATTTGTTGTGTGTACCAGTTAGGTGTGAATATGATACATGTACATGTAGGCTTACCGTACGTCTTCAACAAAGTTAGTAAGGTTGGTTTTTCTTTCTGATGCAAGGTTGTTCACCAATTGTACATGTATGTTATCAGATGTGTATGGTTGTACAGTCGTGTACATACATTGTACATTGTATGTACATGTAGCGGTACATGATGTACAGTTTGTGGATGAACGTACATGTACATGTACCAATGTGATTCATGTAAGTCAGTGTCAGGAATTACTTTGTTCATACCAAGGAGTTGTGGGAAAATTGAACTAGGTTGCTAGGAGTAGAAACCGTTGTATTCAATTTCACTTCATTTGCAAATGAAAAATTCCATCTTTTTGGTGGAAAGAATGGGGCTTTTGAAGTTTTGTACGAGTGGAAAATTTTACGGGGAAAATTGACTGTTTTCCTAGTTTAGAACTGTCAAGCTTGTTTGTATATTGTATTTGCTGTTTTAATATTTTGGGCCTCATTGTCAACACATGCATAAATTTGCAAACTCAGCTGTAAGCAAGTTGCATACACACACATTTGGTATTAGTTGCAGCATTGACCTGGCAGAGATTTTTCCCTGGTGATTTAGCCCTGGGCAACCACGTGGATGTTCCTGTTCTAGGCTGTGGCAGGCACTAACTGTCCCGTAACTCCACATCACTTGTGGGTTACTCAGCCAAGGATTCTCAGTACATGTGTTCCTGTTCATGGCACTCCACTTGAAGAACTGAACCCAGTCAAGGATTCTCAGGTGACCTTTGAGGTCGTGTTATCCTGGAACACAACTTCTCAGAAGTTCAGGTGGGGTTCAATTGTAATGGTTTCACAGGGGTGTGTACCGGTACATTTAGCCGTAAGAAACAACCTCTTGCTGTGAATTTGAATACCAGTACCTTGAAATTGACTGCTTACGGCTGTTACTGAGAGGCATTTCCCTGAAAAGAGATTGGTGAATTAACATCTGAAGTTCTGAGACTTCAACTGGAGGTTTTACGTGTAGTTCCTCAGTGGCAAATTGGAAAAATGGACTCCAATAATGAAATATACAGGTGCATACATGTACGTGTACAGTAAAAATGTTTTTGACTTGCTTTTTATATTTTGCTAGGTACGTGTACATGTACATTGTACTAGTACTTTCTGTTTAAAAAATATCCTTTTACCGTACACCTGGTCTTAATCAAATTTTAGCCATATAGAACCTTCATTTAAGAAATCATTTCCCTGCTTCCATACATGCACACATGTATACTGTACGTCCAGTAGTACCATCTTCTTTTGCAACATGTACATGTACCGGTATGAGGCCTGCTGGATACATGTACTTGTAGGTCTTTTCCACCATCTGACCGTAGATACATGTACACTGTATAACTTAGTACATGTACATGTACATACATGTATGTAGGTCTGTCTAACCATATGAAGTCAAGTTTGACAAACTCATCAACCACCCATCCCCTGTATTTTTATAAAGCAAGTTTGAATATATGCAGTACATGTACATAGACAACGAGAATAGAAGCTACAGGTTCTGGCCATAGGCCACTGTACACATGCACCAAGCTCACTTCTACTAGGGGTTCTGAGGCACCCCCTCTGCTGTGGCACATACTGTACATGTACATGTAAGCTTGGGATAAACTATCATCCTGGGAGGAAGAAAGTGATAACTACTGTACAATGTACCAGCCTGATGAGCCAAATTGGCTTGGAACAGATTTTGCATGTCAATTTTGTCAGGGTCTCAGGGCAAAACCAACCTGTTTTGCTGTTGGTTAAAAGTATTGAACATCCTTGCGCCAACAAGAACAAAGCATGTTACTGAATTAATACACGTTAGCTTGGGTTGACTAGCCCATTGCCTGTTGTGGAAGACAGTCATAATTCCCCTGCTACACATTTGTATCTGTTTAGTGCTCACAGTCACAACTTCAGAGAGTGTACATGTACATGTAGGCCTATGTGTATGTACAGTACTTCAAAAGCTGTCCTCACTCGCAAGCATAGGGTTGGGCATTCAAATCCAGCTCTTGGTTACATGTGCTCATGGAGGAAGGAAAGCACTTCCCCATGATGTGGTGTAGTGGGCTAGTCACTTTACTGGCACTTAAATATACATGTACCGGGGGTATATACATGTATGTACACATGTACACGTACCTCTTTCCATGGCAGAGTGTAATGGGTACCTGTGAGGATGGAGATATTTTTGTTGTTTTAATTAGACATTTGAGCCAGTATTGGAGCTTAATGCCGTACATTGGACTCCCCATGGAGCTGAGATGGTTTTAGGAATGTTTGTACTGTTATGAGCAGGAATACATGTAGGAAATGTCCCTTGTATCCTTTCATTTTTTAATAAGAAAGACAGTGAAAGGGGATTCCTTCCATCTCCATTCAGTTCTCAGTTTGTGGGAAATCTTGGATTCTGTATGGAATATTGTTTAAACTTTAAGCATGCAACCATGGAGGAATGCATTTTTTATTTTTCCATTGTGTAATACTAACAGTTGTGGTACATTTAAGTTGTTGTTGATATGAGTCAGTGCCATCTTGTGTCCTTTATGCATTATTGTATCCATCGAAAAACTTTTCAGTACGAACACGTAGTGGATCAAAATTCAGGACAGTGGTAAAGAACCCTTGCTTGGACAGTAATAACTAAAGATGTGTGAGGGACATGTACATGTACAGTGTAGCGGTACTGTACTCATTTAAAACATGCCTTTAATAGGCCACAGTGCCTCAGTACATTTAGCTTTTTCCTCGGCACATATTCAGTACATGTACAGTACATGTATACATGTACTTGTACAGTGTCCATTATGTGTAAGCACTTGAACAGGAAATGCTGCCAAGCCTGGAGGGCCTGTACTTCTTAGAAATGGGTCTCAAGTCAGGAAACATAGGGAGCTGAGGTAGGAAATGGAAACATGATCAGAGGAAAGTGGTGTGTGGAGCCTTGCTCTTAATTATCCTCAGGGGAGGGGTGTAAACTGTTACATATGAGCAGTAACAGTAGGATATTCTCTGATCCTATCCTGCCTGGAGGAAGATTGTGTTCATTCCTCTATGATCCCAAGGCAGGTCATAGAGAAAGTGGGTCTGCAGACATGTATTTTCCACGTGTCTCATACTACATCTGAGCAAGGAAGGTACCAGGTGTATGTACATTGTATGTACATGTACATGTAAAAGAATTGCCAATGGTAAGGATACAAACCATAATAATCCAATGTTGCAACGCCCATAAACA